TAGTAAAATTTCTGATAAAGAAAAAAAAACACCACAATTTATTTCTGTCATGTTATTTCTATTATAAATTATTCTTGAATTATAGCATATAACCTAAATTAACTATTCCTGTATTGGAGAACATAACCTATTTATTAAAGAACATAACCTAAAATATTAGGTTAAATTTGAATAATTTTGCTTTTTATATTGAATATTTAAATTTAATGTCATTGTTTTTTTTTTAAATTTTTCAAAATTTAAAAACAAAATTATACATAATATACCATATTTTAAAAATAAATTAACAAATTATTAAGTATGGTTTAACAAATTATTAATGCAGCATATATTTTGCATTTCAACATAATAATTTTGACACAATTAAATTTGATCAGGATGATTTTGACACAATTAAATTTTTTTACTCAAAACAATTATAAATAATTCATATTTATTAATTAATTTATTAATTTACTATTAATTTTCATTTCATTGTTTATCATTCACATTTCCATCATTAAAAATTTAACTTTCACAAAATAGTTTCCATTATTATAAAAAATGATAGATAAACATTTATCATTCACTCATTTTTTTCTCTGGAGAAAAATAATTTTTGTATGTCATTCAGTTTTTTGAAAGAGAAAATGAGTGAAAGACGAAAACTGTCTTTCACTAAAGAAAAAAAATAATGAATGAAAAATAATTGTATCATTTATGTTTTTGTTTTAATATGATGACACCAAATCTTTTCCCATATTAAAATTACAATGAACAATGGAAACTATTTTTGACAGAGATAATTTTTTAATGTTGACACAAAAATGTGAATGTTACAAACAATGATGAAAAGACTCTTAAGTTTAAACTAAACATACATTAATTTATAATTATATACAAAATTTTATATAAAATTAAATTATCAATATTATAATTAATTAATAATTATTTTTGGCTTTACTTTCCATAGTCGCTTTCCTATCAAAAAAAAAAAATAGAACAAAGAATAATTTATTATAACGAATTATAACACTTATATAATTTTCATTATATTTTTACTGTAATATAAATTATATATATAAAAGAATTTTTAAGAGATTGCTTTGTTTTTTGTTTTTCCTTAAATATTTTTCTTAAAAAAGAAAAGAAAATTAAATAAAGATAAAAATGCGATAACAAAAATTACAACTTGCATAAAAAAAAACTGTTATATACAAAATAAATAACAATTATTCGAAAAAAAAAAAAAAACAAAAACGCATGCATTAATAAATTAATTTTAATTATTAAAAACAAACAAAGAAAAATAAAAATTATAAATTTACTGAAAAAAAAAAATTTTACTCTCAAAATTTGAGCTGGTCTCAAAAAGAAAAATAAATATGGAGTTGATTTGTAGTTACCCAAAAATGTTGGATGAATTTTTTATATTTATAATATTTTTAAGTTTAATTTTAGGCAGGAAAATTCTAAACAATTTTAGAACAAAAAATTTTGTATTCATTTTTCTAATTCAATATTATTAATTATTAATTTTTTTAATTATAAAATAATTTTTATTTTTGAATATTTATTTTTTTTTTCTAATCTTTAAATTTCAAAAAGCAAATTTGAAAATATTGAATATTTTCACATAAAGAATTTAATAATCTAATATAATGTTATAAAAAGAAAAAATTGAAAACTAAAATTATATCAAATTTGTGAAAATTAATAAAATATTTAATAAAAATTTAATAAAAATATTCTATTGTTATTTATAATAAAATTTTATAAATTATTATTCTTTGCCCCATTTGTATGGTGTAAATATTTGACAATTTAATTCTTTTATATAAATTAAATATTAAATTTAATATTATCTACATTTAATTATTATATTTTAATAATCATCTACATTAAATTCATAGTTTTTAATTAAAAATTCTCTTAAAATTTAATATTGAATATTTAAATTTGTTTGGAAACATTAATTTTTTTTTGAATTGAAAATTTAAATTAAATTTTTAATTTACAATATAATTAATTTAAAAATATTCTGGAAATAAGTTCTCTAGATAAGCTCATTATTAAAAATTATTAATTAAAATATTTTTTCACATATAATTTTCTGGTCATTTTAATTAAGTTTTATAACTTTTACAAGTTATTTTTCAAGATTTTTTCTTATTTACATTTTTCTACGTGATTTTTTTGTTTAAATGCTTTAGAACTTTAACAAAGCTTAAATTTACCGAATATGTTACATTTAAATATTTTGTATAGCTTCTATATATTATCAAACATACTTCTTATACATTCAACTTTAAATTCGAACTAAATTATCTAATAATAATTTAATAGAAATAAAATTTTATTTATATTATAAAATTTGTATATAAAACAAAATAAGTATCTAGTTGGTTAACCATCCACATACAAAGCGGTGGTGCCCAACTGGTTCGAATACAATTTTTGTTTTTGTATATTCTACCTTGACTCGTTCCTTTAGTAGCTCATTCTTCTGTTCTTCGGAATTCTGGGAAAATATTTTCATTATTTATTTCCATTAAAAAATTTTTCCTATTTATTGTAGTTATGTTTTATCAAAATTTTAATCGGTATTATTCTAAACTTCAAGTATATATATCTAAAATTAAAATTAAATTATTTAAGAAAGTTAAAGAGTATGGGGCAAATGAATTTTGTTATAAATAATATAAATGATATAATTGTATGCATATACCATAATAATTAGTTATTTTTATTTGACAAAATTATTTCTCGAATTTTATTTCAGGAAATTTTGAAAGAAATAAGCGCTATTTATTCTTCTTTTCTGTTTTTTTTTTCTAAAATAAACATTACTGTAAATAATTTTTAAAAGCTAAAATTTTTTTTAAATAATTATTAAATATTTTAATTTTTTTGTTATAACAATCATGTATGTCAAAAACAAAACACATTTAAAATATATGTTTTATATAATATACTTGTTGTTTTTTCTAAAATTATATAAAAAAAAAAAGAACAAAAAAAAAATATTGATAAAGCAATCATTTAAATAAAAAACTAAAAAATTATTAAAAATAAAAAAAAAAATTGTTTTTTTTTTTAACATTATTAAATAAATTAAAATTATTGTTATCTAAAACAAAGCATTATATTTATGTTGAAACAATGTAAAAAAAAATAAAAAAAAAAGCATAATATTAACGGTAAAACTCTAAAAAACATTTTGTAAATATTTTTTTTTGTTTTGTTTTCATAAAAAAAAATTACATTTACCTTAATCATAAATAGTTTAAATAATTAATAATTATTGTGGTAAAAGCTAAAAAAAAACTAAAATAATTTAAAAAAAGAATAAAAGTATGTTGAATAAATTAATTTAAAAATGAACAAAATATAAAAAAAAATATTTGCATATTAAGAAAATCATAAAAATAAAAAAAATCATGAAATTCACAAAAGAAAATAATATATAATAAATGTACATAAATATATTATATATATAGAGTATATATTTATTAAAAAATAAAATAAAAACAAAGAAAACAACAAATACATAGATGTAAAATATAAAAAAAGAATTTAAATATAAATTGTAAAAAAACACACAAAGAATAATTTGAACAAACAAAAAAAATTATCTATATAGTTTTAGAAAAAAAAAAGTGAAAAAAAGGAATTTGTAACCTTTACTAATTCTATGTTTTCTTTACACACGTGAATAGAAGAAGGAAAAAAAAAATTTTAAAAAATTATTAAAAAAAAAAAAGAGACAAAGAACAAAAACTTTTATTTTTTGTTTCATTTTCGTTTTTTTTTTCTTTTTGTGAAAATGTTAGAGAAAAATTGAGTATTGATATTAAAAGAAAAAGCATACAAACAAACAAAAAAAAAATTTATGTAAAAATTTAATATAAATGAAAATAAATTTAAGAAATATTATAAAAAAAAAAGTAATTTGAAGTTTGCAATCTTATCATACACTCTTGTCAAACAGAAATACTCGTACCCGTTAAATCTTATCATACAATTTTGTCAAAAAAAAAAATTAATTAAAACTTTCCAATCATACTATACAATCTGATTAAACAAAAATCTGTAACTTCAAAATAGATTAACACTTATTATCTTCATTTTTTCATAATTTTTCATTTTGAAGATATTATAAAGAAAATATCTTCACGAACTCTTCGAAATTTCTTCAATTGAAGTTCAATTGGGAAAAGTATACGTAGAAAGTCAAAATATCATCATCGATTTTAAATCGAACCGAATTGGACACCGTAAAGATAAACTAATCATATACATAACAGAATCCCTGCGATATTATAAGCCGTGTGTGTATATGTAATTAATACTCGTATGCCAAGTCGATTAATTGAAACGTAGAATATCAAAAAATTTTATGTTGTGGAAATAGCATTACCAATTGACTTTTTTGTCCAAATTTTTTTTTTTTTTGTAAAATCTGGAAATATTGTAAAAAAAGTAAAAATTTCCAATTCTGAAAAATTTTGATAGCATTCAAAAATTTTAATTTTGAATTTAAATCTTCGCTATTGATAGTGTGGCTTACCAGTCTTACAGCCTTATCGCGTATCTCACTTTTTTACTAACTTTTCATTCACTTTCAAAGTAGAATTCTTCATTTTTCTAAAGACTACTTAATTTTTCCAATAAAATTACTCATTTTTTGTACTGCAACCTTTTCGCAATGAAGCTTATTAATTAAAAAATTAAAAATTGATTATAATTCCAAAGAGTTAACAACTTAAAAAAGTAGAAAATTTAATTACCTTTTTTGTAACCTTACATGTAAATTAAATTTTCCAAAAGCGAACAGTAAATTGACTGAAACTTGAACTTTCTTCATATTTGTAATTTTACTCACAATTGATTTTCTTTTATTATAATTTTTCTTTTATTGTTTTATTAAAATTGAATATTCTTATTAAAATTTAAGTAAAGGTCGAAAAAAGATTCAAAATAAGTAAAAACTTACCTAATTTAAATACATTTAAAAAACATTATTGATCTTTTTGCTTATTTTTTATTATTATTTTTAAGCTAAATTTACATTAAAAATTCTAAATATTTATAAAAAAAAAAATAAATTATAAATATCAATTTAAAATAAAAAGCTAATTTCATTTCGCACAGTCTGCAAATAATGCATAAAATCATTTCTTATAGAATTTCTCCAATCATATAACTGATCAGTAATGTTGAAACAATTTATATAACGATGAATGAATCCTTGAGATACAGTCAATGCAATACTTTTTGTCTCTTCATTTCTTAATGTAGGCTTATAAACATAAAATTTATGATGAATTTTTGCTTCAGGATTATACATATTATTATCCATTAAAATTTTTTTATTATCTTCCATACAAACAGAAAACGATGGTAATTCAAATCGATCATACATTGTATCATAATGATCTAAATCTTTAATTACTGAACCTCTGAAACGTACATTGAAATTTGGATAAAAAAATTCATTTGGCTCTAATATTAAAACATATTTTGATAAATGCATTGATCTCATTAAGCAATCACTTTCCAAAATTTTCAATGTTTTTCTTGAATGATAATCAAATGGAAAATTATATGGAAAATAATTGATATTTAAAGATGTTTTTGATAGAAGTTGTCTAAAAATATAATTAAAAATTTATTTATTAATTAGATTTGGTAAATTTTGAATTTAAAAAAAAATTTTTTGTACATCAAATTGTTTTTCATATTATTTACCTTACATTCTCTGGAATAATATCGGCATTATAAATGAAAAAATTTTCAATTCCAATAGCTTGATGTAAGATAAAAAATTGCATAAAATTATCTCTATTTGTAAATAAAGGTAAAATACTAGAAATGCTTTCGTTGTATGGTATGAGATTTAAACAAATACTAGTTGAAACGTTATCTTGTAATAAATTATTTCGAATATGTTTTAATGTAATTTCATGTTTTGCTTTAGTTTTAATTTCTGTAAAAATTACTTTATCAGGTTGTCCAAAATCTCTAGTAATTTTACAAATAAATTTGTATACTGAAAATATTTCTGCACCAGGTTTAACATCTTCTTTCAAATCAATATCATTAGCCAAATTAATAAACATAAATTTTCCCATTATAACTTTATCATTTTCATATTTTAATGAACATTGAAAATTAATAAAGGCATCCTTAAAACCGGTGACAATTGAAATAGCTTCACCACCAGCAACTAAACTTTTTTTATTCCAAAAACTAGAATATGCATAAAAATTTATTCCGATTCTCTGCCATAATGGTAATGGGCTATAATAGTAAGAAGCCTGCATAATTTTCGTATTATTTATTCGTGACAATAAAGCTGCATCACTTCGACCAAAAAAATTAACATAATGTAAAACATATTTTAATCTACTATTTTCACTTTTATAAACAAAAAGTATAGCCAAACTAGCTACTGTTATAAATATTAAAAATAGTTGCTGATATTTTCTCATAGCTTTTTAATCCTTTTCACCACTCAAAAATTCATCTCAGGATAAAAAAAAAATATTTTTATTTACATTGAAGTTTTGTTTTGCAAATTTTATAAGTCTTTTTTTCTTTGATATGTTTAAATACACAGTACTGGAAGAAGGCAATTATTAAATATTAAAAAAACCCGACTAGCTAACACTTAATATAACTGTTATAATAATTATGTTTGGCTTTAATTAACTATTTTTCAATTAAGTCTGCAATTTATTAAAATATTAGGATTAGAAAAATTTTATAAAAATTCTACTTTTACGAAAAAAATCTCAAAAATCTTCTGTCTAAATTTTTTTCAAATGTCAGGAACAACTAAATGTCAAAAACCAAAACTAATAGTACACATTTTGAACACTAGCTGATTGCATTCAGTTGACGTTTTACGGAAATTGAATAAATTCCCTTGAAGTTAGAATTTGACAACAAATTTTGTATATGGTTTTATATTTAAAAACATTAAGCTTTTCGTTTAATTTAATTTAATATTTTACAATTAATCGTATTTTCAAATTCGCAGAACTACTAAAGAGTGTGAACATGTGATAGCATATTAGACACAAAAATTACTATTAATTCCTACTTTCTAATCAGCTGTTCCACTGATAAGAAATGAAGTTTGTTGTAAATTTTTTAGTAAAACAACACCTTTTAATAAAAATATTTAAAAAATATTATAGTAAAACTAATTAAAATGAATAATAATAATGCAAATATTATATTTCATCCTGTAATAAGTTCAATACAGAAAGTTGTTGTATATGAAACGAAAACGGTATGTTAAAATGATGAAAAATCTGTAAAATTTTTGAATTAAATTTGTAAAATAAAAAATAATTGTTGTAATTTTTTAGAAATTTTATTTAATTGGCAGTAATAATCGAGAAACTCGATTCCGCCTACTTATTATTGATCGTACCGCTGTAGATGAGTTAAGAATTCACGAGGATCCAAATGAAATTTCAGCAAAAGATATTAAAAGAATGGCACAAAATCTTTCTTCAGCAAAAATTACATCTGCATATGGAATCTTAGGATTTGTAAGATTTTTAGAAGGCTATTATTTAATTTTAGTAACAAAAAGAACACGATGTGCTTTTGTTGGTATGCATTTAATATATACGATTAAGGATACTGTAATGATTCGTATTAATGAACTAGCAACAAAGCAACCGCATCCGTTTGAACAACGTTATGTAAAAATGTTTCAAAATGTTGATTTAAGAAGTAATTTCTATTTTAGTTATAGTTATGATTTAACAAGAACATTACAATATAATATGTCTGCTCCGAAATTCGTGGGCAGCAATGTTAATATTGATTCAGACGAACCACTTCCAGATTGGAATACACTAACTAATAATGTTCAATCAGAAAACGAAAGAGTTGATTATGCATTTCGTTCGCAGCCCAGAGAAAGATTTATTTGGAATGCATTTTTGTTAAAACCAGCCCGAGAACATATATTATTAAAAGATTGGTTATTAGAAGTAACGCATGGTTTTATAAGTCAATCTAGTATAAGTATTTTCGGTCGACCAATTTTCGTATGCTTGATTGCCCGTCGCAGCACTAAATTCGCAGGTACTCGTTTTTTGAAACGAGGTGCTAACTTTCAAGGTGATGTTGCAAATGAGGTTGAAACCGAACAAATTGTCATGGATGGTCATAGATTGTGTAGTTTTACCCAAATGCGTGGCTCTATACCATCGCATTGGTCACAAGATGTCAGCAAAATGGTACCAAAACCTCCAATAACTCTAGATTTGTCAGATCCATTTTGTGAAACAGCAGCGAAACATTTTGAAAGACTTTTATTCCATTATGGATCACCAATAATAATATTAAATTTAGTAAAGAAACGTGAAAAAAGGAAACATGAAAGCATTCTAAGTAGAGAATTGAAAAGAAGTATAAAATATTTAAATCAATTTTTACCACCACAGCATCGAATGATATATAGACATTTCGATATGGCAAGACAAAGCCGAAACGGAAATGTGATGGAATCACTTGCCAATATTTCAACTGACGTTATCAAGGAAAATGGAATGTTCTTCAAGGATCGTGATACTACTACATTACAAACGGGTATTGTGAGAGTTAATTGTGTCGATTGTCTGGACAGAACTAATACTGCCCAATTTGCTATTGGAAAAGTTGCATTAGCTCATCAGCTATATAATTTAGGTTTTATCAAACCACCTAAATTGGAATTTGATTCTGATTGTGTAACAATGCTAGAAAATTTATATGAAGACCATGGAGATACTTTAGCTTTACAGTATGGCGGCAGTCAATTAGTTCATAGAATTAAAACTTACAGAAAAACTGCTGCATGGGCTTCACAAGGAAATGATATAATGCAAACATTAAGTCGATATTTTAGTAATACTTTCAGTGATACCGAAAAGCAACATAGTTATAACTTATTCTTAGGATATTACATACCATCAAAAAATGATTCAAAACGTAAGTTTTTCTCTTTTATTCATTGAATGTAAACATATTTTCAAAATATTTTTTTATGTTTTAGAAAATCCTCCAATATGGGAATTGCAAACAGATTATTATATGCATAATTATAAATCATTTAATTCTAATAACGATACCAAGTTTTTAACAGATTGGGTTCGACACAAAGTAAGATCTTCTTTACCACATTCCTGTTCTGATTTAAATAAAATTGTAAAAGAATTATTTCGAGTACATTCCAAAGATGTTGAAATGATAGATTCATACTCTCATTATCATATGTCTTTTAAATTAACTGAATTTAATGAGCATATTGCTTTTCGAATAAGTCAAATGGCAATGAGATTTATGCCAACATTTCGAACAAATTTTAGCCCTTTTCAACCAGGTCGACGTCGAGAAGATCGTTCAAGTGCAAAGAATCCATCATTAACAGGACAAAGTTCAACGAGTTCAACAACATCATCAGCGTCTTCAAGTTCTGGCTGTGAAGAAGATTCATCATCTGACGATGAGTTTCAAACATTAAATGCTAAAAACCGGCAATATTCAACGAAAATAAAAATTTCTACTACGCCATTAACATTTGAAAATTTAATGCCAACTATGGAAGATGTTTATGGATGTAAAATAAAACAACCAAGTACTGAAAGTATGGCAATTTATAAAAAATATGTACAAATCGGTAGATTATCTTCACAATTTTATAAAAATGAAGGATTGCCAACTAATAATAAGGAGGCGGCTAGAATAAATGCAAAATTAATGAAAGGAATACAATTATCTCCTTCTCCTAACTTAAAAAATGATACAAGTATATCGGTAGAACCGCCTAAAGTTAGTGAAAAAAGCATAAAAATCTATGAAGATTACGTAAATAGTAAAAAGACTATTGTAGGAATCCCTTCAGTTAAAGATCTCGATGTAATTATAAGATATATAAAAGATTTGTAAAATTTTGATTTTATTATAAAATAAAATTTTTTTTGTCCAGCACAATTATATAAACGGTACACGGACTAAATGTCTTTATTTTATGGCTTTATTACTAATAAACCGCAAAATGATGAATAAAAAAGTTGAATTTCGTTTTTTGTTTTAATTTAACATCGATACACATATAAAAAATAACAATATTCGATTAAATTCTTATAAGAAAAGGCAAATCTTAATTTATTTTTCAAATTTTTGTCAAATTTTTCTATTATTGTTTTTTTTTTTGCTTAATTTTTATAAATTATCCAAAGCTCGAACGTATAGAAGCAAAAAAAAAAAATGAAATTCTTTACTTATTCTAATTTGATTCTTTTTCTGTCTTTTATATTACTAAGAGGATCTTCGTCACTATTACTTACATCATCACTTTCACTATTGCGATTAAGTTCCAAATTTTCATTTTGAACACTTTTCGAATTATTTTCATCGGTTTTATAGAAAAAATGTTCAGATAACTTTTTAATTTCTTCAATAATTTGCATTTGAATGTTTAAATTTTTTTGTTGTACTTCCAAGATTTGATTTTGTACCGCCAACATATCTTTATTTGTACTAGAGCAATCCTCACAATGTGTAGTAGATTTTTTTTGCATAAATAATTTCATTTTAATGTCGCGAACATTTTCTAAAATCATTTTGTGGGTATTTTTTGTTTCCGTTAAAAGCTGAAGTGTTGAATCTGTATTAGATGTTTCAATATTATTTTCAGTCTGTTGTGTCGGCTAAAAAGAAAATAAGAACTTTTTTTAAATATTCATTAAATTTATAATAATTTATATTTAAATGAATGAATTTTTTAAGTTAAAACATAATTAATTTTTAATTAATTTTAACTCAATCAAGTGTTTTATTTTAATACTTTAACCTAATAAATAAAAAAATGTTATGAAAATTCATACAATTTCTATTTATAGTATGAAATTTTACCAAAGAATGATATAATACCTATCCAACGAGTGGCAGGAAATTCTAAGACCTAAAAGTTTATAAACTAAAATATATACAGAATATAGAAAATAGAACGTCATTTATGGGTAGCTAACTATACGTAACCGAAAAGAAAACCAACAAAAACAAAAAATAACAGAAAAATTCTATAACTTGACATTGTATTTTAATTTTTAAAATTTAAAAGTTTATTTACATAAGAATTATTTTTCATCTCTAATTTTGTTTTTCTGTATATTTCTTGCCTTCTAGCTTCATCTTCATTATTTTTAATTTCCTGTTCCAAAAGATCTATTTTCTTTCGCATAAAATCTAATTTACATTCCCTATATGTTTTTTTGTCAAAATAATTTTCTTTTGTATATTTGCCGATAGATTCCAAGCTTTTTTGAAAATCACCCATTATTTTTGAAGCGTTTTCACGATATTTATTCTGAGAATTAATTTGCTCTTTTAATAAATCTAATCGTTTATCATTATGTATCATTTTCAGCTCTTTATTTAACCGTTTTCCTTCAAGTTTCGACTTTTCAGAAGCTGGCTCAAATTCATCACATACATTTTCTACAGTATTTTCAATACAACTATTAGAATCTTGAACTGTTTCCATCTCTTCAATAATAGTACTAGTTCTTCTTCTATTCTCATCTAAATTTATTACATCTTCTTGTAGATCCATAGAGGAACTCAATTCCAATATACTTGCAACCATTTCTTCCATTTGAGAAAGTGGGTAATATTTATTTGATGCAATACCATATATTCTTGTATCTTCCTTCTGCTCATAAGCTTTTTTTCTAACTTTTGCTTTTAAGTCTCTCCAAACCTATAAAATACGCGTGGAATTTATAAATTTCTACATATATAATTATATATCTAATATAAGTAGGTATTGAGAAAAGCATATTACATACACGCTGCCATTTTTCCCAATCTCGTTGAGGTGGACCTAATTTATTAAGTTCAATTGAAAATTCCTCCCATTTCTCTTTTGCGCTATTTTTAGAGATCACAGCTCTTGCAACATCTAAATTTTCTTCCATTAATTTAACTAGATGAAGCATCTGCCTTTTGTTACTTACAACTTTTGTCCTAAAATTTTTGTCAATATTTTAAATTTAGTGAAAAAATTCGTTAAATTACTTTTACAGTATCAAAAATTAAAATACATAAGTACTTGATTTTAAAAATACTTACATTTTTTCTTTAAATTGATTTAAATATTTTTTAATCTATAAATTTCCAACTCTTATGCTTATATAGATTCCGTAATATACACATTTCATTATCATCATCAATTTATCACATCAATAACTTTGACTGTTTGTCTATAGAAAAACTTCAATCGTCAGCGAAGACTGTGATTGATACAAATTGTGAAAATTCACCATTGAAAAATTAATTCACAATAACTAAATTAAATACTTATATCAATATTTGACAGTTATCATTAAAATGACTTACACATTTTTATATTTTAACATTTTTACAATATTGTATTTCTCCAAAATTTGGACATCTATTAAATTAAAGACAGAACAAGAGCGATTCAGAAATATCAGGATTCATGCAGAATACACTTTTTTAAATAGGACTAAAACTAAATAGGACTTAAGCTAAATTACCATTGTGAATTTAACCGCTGGCAGTAAAAAAGCATAAATTCCTATTTTTACCGCTGGCGGTTTTGTTTTTTCAGATTACTGTGTGTGTATCATACGGAAAATACTGTACAGTTGATTTTGCCGTTTCGCTATTGTTCTGGCTTAATAACGGAAATCTCCCGCAGTTACAGCTTTGGTAATATTTTTAACATTAATCAGAAACTTATTAAAACGCTGAAAATTTTTTAGAAGAGTAGTATTATAGAAATATAAAATACCTTTCGATTACTCTTTTCTTTTTCCTCTTGATTCACTTTGGTGTAGTGAAATTTGGTATACGAATGCATTGTTATTAAAATTCTTTTATGAGCACCAAATACGACACGCATAACTTTTGTTACTTTTGTTTATTATAATAAAAGCAAGAAATAACTTAAAAATACACACATAGACATTATTTCGTATTAATTGCATTGTGTTTCATTTATTTACTTTCTGCTGTATTCCTGTGCATGTGCTTAAAACAGTCGTATTTGTATATGCAATAATTTCTAATTAATATTTAGTACATGTGTACTAAAATATTAAAGACACAAACCGTGCAAAGCAATCGAAAGAATATTTTTCTGGAAATTTTTCAATTCCATAAAAAAAAACTTTAATTTTTCTCAGATCACTTGATATTTTAGACTTATTCCGTAAAAAACCGTGGTAACTCAATTTTGAGATAAAAAGTAAAACTAAATGTTTTTATAGAAATTCATAATTTTTATACTTACTTTATTTGGGTTTATAGTACTGTCATTATTTGCAAATTCTTTTGATGTACTTGGGGAATTCGAACGATCAATTGATTTCAAATTATTACGATTCACTGTATTTGAATTAGTTTCATTAATTTTTTTAACTGGAATAAATGTTATTTTGGGAGTTTTCATAGAACTTGTAGATGATGAAGCTGATTGTATATTGACATCATCATCAGAAATAATTTCAAAATCTTCAGCTTCATCAGGTTCCGAATCGATTTCTTCTTTAACTAACGAAATTTGTTTATCATGTTTAACTTTTATTCCCAATATATTACATATTATTCGATCCGCTTCATTAAGCGGTCTCAATATTTTAGCAGTATGTTGGTCAGAATCAATAATAGTAAGTTTTTCCTGATGATTAAAAAAAATTAAAAATTAGAATTAGTTAAAAACAAAATATAAGTTGTTAGTATTAATAGAGTATCTGTTGTATAAAAAGAAGCGTTATAAAAGCGTTTAATTGCATTATTTGGGCCAACATTAGTCTTGCAATAGCCTTGAACTCATAATATATAATATAACAGTATTATGAGTTCAAGGTTTATACATGTATTTAGTTTAGGGAGGTACCTGCCTCTACTACATGGTATAACATAATTTGACTGCTTTTTAAAGCAATATTCGTACATTATTGCGTTCTTTTTTTTTAAGAAATATGAACCGAAAATGACATACTTCTGTACATTAGAAATAAGTATTTTATAAATTAGTTAATATTTTATTAAATAAGTTATTTTACAAAAATCATTCGTTCATTTTATATTTTTCGTTCATCCTCATACAGGAAGAAAATTAAATCTTTCCTTAATATCAAAAATTCATTAAAATATCTGGTATTGCATGCAAATATGAAATACTTGAAAATATCAAAAAAAAATCAAAACATCAATAATTTTTCAAACTACTCGTACATACAAAAATATTCAAATATGAAGGTAAATAATTTACATATTCAAAAGCTCATTTTATGACAATTAAACTTTTTAAATTCAAACGATTCGGTTAAGTGTCATTGTGACGGCTGTCACTAAATTTCTGAATTATTTTTTTATTTATTGCATGTATAAAAAATTGCACAAAATTCAATGACAATAATTCACTTACCAATGTCTCAGATTTCCATCTTTCCCATATATGATCTCTCATGTATTTCCAACTTTTTGGTGTTGGAACAATTCCGAATCTTATAGCTAATTTTTGAGCTTCTTGCCATTTAGCAATTTTTACCTCAATTTTATAAGTATTTTGTTGACCAAATAATATATTTTTATTTTTTTCAATATAACGTAATATAAAAGAAATACCAAATTCTTTTCTTTCCATATCTTTTTTGTTAAACATTTTTATTTATTTTGTTATTCCTGCCAATGTTATATTCAGCGTAGTGTAGAAAATAATAAACATATACACCAACAAATTAAATATATATAATTAAACCAACTTGTCAAATGTCAGTTTGATGTTTCAAGTCATTTGACATCAATGTCACGAACATATGTCAATATATTAAGACAATTTAATTGTCAAAAATGATTTCAAAATATCAACGTTATCCGTTGTTACAATATTGTGAATTTTTGAAACAGGATGAAGTGTGTATTAAATTTTAGGAATCGTGTTTTACAAGTGCTTACAGCTTTTGATACACAATTATTCTCATCTCGCAACAAGCGAATTCTTATATTGCATTTACATATTTTTGTTTTGAAATCTTTCTGAAAACAAATTAATTACGATTACATTAAGTGGAACTAAACGTAATTTTTTGAAATTATGTATGTAGATACTATGAAAAATTATATACAGAATATGAATTATATGTCAATAGATGTTTTAAATGTTTTAAGAAATATGTAACATCAAAATAATTGTTTAGCAAAGCTCAAAACGATGATTAATTTGTTAAAAAAACATGCATTAATAAGAAATGGTATTCAAACCAAAAAAAGTAAGTTGGAAAAATTTTAGAAATTTAAACAATTTTTATAGAATTTCTCAATCACAGCTATGGGTTGTTAGTGGATTGTTACTGAAGCAATACTATAATAATCAAATTGTATTTTTCTAGGAATTTGTTAAAAGTGGACACAAAATTTTGTGCAATATCTTACAGAATTTATGCAACATCAATTTAAATTTGCCCAATTATGTACACTACCAATAAAAATTCAAATTATTTAATAAATTTTCTTAAAAATAATTTATTGTGGTAGGTAGTTTGGAGAAAGAGATTTGGAAAGTATTTTAATTTAAAAGTACAATATAAAAACTACGCGAAGTATTCGGTAATTACACAATTTTATATTAGAGCTTCTACTGCATCTACTACGTACATAAAAAAATTTAAATAAGTTTTCTTTAAATAAAAGACATAGATTATTGTTTCATGTTTTAAAAAATAGTTATTTTGGAATTTATTTCATGTTCCATTCTAATTATTTAGTTCCTTGTGCTTCTTTCTTAGCTTTCAATCTTTCTATCGCTATTCTACGATTTTCTGCTATTCTTGCCAATTGCTCTGCTGTTAATTTTTTTGGTGATTTTTGCGTTGACGGAATAGGTGTTGATGGTAATGGTTGTGCTAAATTATCTAAATCATCATAGTTTTGTGGATAAGGTGTAGACATTGCAGCATTGTGTTCATTCAATTTTGGTGTATTAAAAACACTGCTAGACATAGACATAGATCTTGATCCAGGAGTTCTTGGGGCTAACTTTGAAATAGCGATCTGTTCATCTAATAGAGCATCAAATTCATCAAAAGGTTCATTATTTATATTTGCTAATTCTGGTTCTATATCATCTTCTGTATTTGGAATAAGCTCTCCTTCTAATTGTCCTAAACGATATCTAGTCATATAGACCTGTAATTCCTTCTTTTTACCAAATTTTTCAACTTTTTCCAGTATATCATCTAAACTATATGTAGGAAACATTCTATGTGCCCAATGTTGTAATCTTTTCATAACTTCATTTAAATCTTGTTTTTCATAGCCTTTACCGCGATATTTTATTCCATCAAAATATTTTTCAATAGTATGAATACCGCGAGGGCCTTTTAATGTTTGCACTTTTAAAGTATGCTTAGGATTTCTTACTGTTCTCTTTTTTGGTTCAACTGGTTTTGGATTATCATTATTTTGATCTTGATTTTCATTCTGTTCATTATTTTGCTCATCATCTGTTCCAGGTAGTTCATTATCACTTATATTTCTTTCTAAATCTTCACCTAAAATATCATTAGTTATATCTTCTTCGAAAACGGACATTTTCTTAATTATAAATTGATAAACTTTGTTAGTTCATAAACTCTGGAAACTCTAAATTAAATTTTTTTCTGTAAACTTGGTAAATACAACTTGATATTCGCGCTTTGATAAACTTTAAAAATTTTTGACAACTAATATTGACAAGTCTTACACGGAGCTTACACATTCAAAATTAAATGACATCTAAAAATTGATATATAAACTTTGACAAAAACGTAATTTATAAAGAATTTCGCAAAAGCTTTTTTGCGTAGTTTATTTACAATCAATGGTCTGAGGTTCTGTTTATTCTCCAAAATTTTAATTGAAAAAAATTAATTTTATTTAATGAAATATCAATATTAAACAGGATTTTAAAATACAAAATGTATATAAATTTTTTAATTCAATAAATAATGCATATAATAAATATCAATATGGTAGTGAGCAAATTTACACAATAAAAATAATTTTCAACTTTTTTTTAATAAATAAATTGAATTATTTGATAATTATATTAATTTTTTTATAATATTGAAATAATACATACCAAAATATTTACGGTAAACGTGAACTGGTATGACAGAAATATTTTACCCATAAATAAACAAATATACTTATGTATGAAATATGCTAGCATTACCATATTTTTTTATACAAAACTCCAAATTTCCATTTCAAAACAAGTATTCCTTTTACACACAAGAAGGTTCAAACTTTCTACTTTTAATAGCATTCCGGAAAATCTTTCCGGAAGTGTTAATTTAGTGTAGAATATTGTGCTTAAAACTTTTCATTCGTCGTGTATTAATTTCTTCAAAACATCGTGTTTGCGTACTTTTGTTAAGATTTTCAAAGTTTTGATTGCTACTGCATAAATTTTGTTTTACTGGAATTGTTATCATTTGTACGCGATTTTTGGGGTAGCGCTGAAAAATTATCAGTGATAAAAATACTGTCAATACGAGTAGGTAGAGTTATTTATGCACTCTATACGTAATGTATCTTACAATTTCAATTATTGGATCCATTTCTAACATATTCCAATTAACTTGCCCTTTATATTCATGCTTACTTCTATTATATTCCATTTTCACTAACACTGTCAGTATTCCCTTTAATAATATCAATATGAGTTTTAAAATATTAATTTTAAATTTAAAAGTTAGAGGTAATTATAATAAATATTGAAATTTATGTTGATGTATTTTGAAATTGAATTTTAAAAGGATAAGTGTGTCAAATTATATACGTATTTAACGCTGCCAATTTATAATTCCACTAGTTACATAGCAAGCTTTCAACACGTTGAACCGTTAGTGAACTACTCGATCAACCATTTGATGGTTGAAATTTGTTTGATGTTATGATATGAAAAAATTCTTGATATTTTGGTTGATAAAAAAAAAATTAATTTATGTGGACGTAATTTTGTATGTTTTATAAAACTACATCTGTAGTGTTGAAAGCATTCAACTAATGTGAAGTGTGAGTGGCTATGTTGATCAAAGTGTTTTTCAACTTGTTGAAAAACGAAGTATAGTGGATGATCAGCATAACAATTAATATTATTTTAGCAGAGCATAATATACGCAAAAATAAGAATACATTTTAGCTGCAAACCTACAATTAATAAAAGAGAACTGTTAATTTTCAAATGAAAAATCAAACCATAAACTAATGAATTTAAACGTCAAATTTCTAATTTTTAGTAAATACATGAAGAATGCATACGTGAAAATTAAATGACATTTCAAACTGAAGCGCTGTTTATTTGCAGGAGACCCGAATGTACGTATAACATAATTATTTTGTATTATTCTTACCTGAATCAAAAATGATAATCCTAATATAATAAATAAAATATGAATAAATTTTACGAATATATAAGATAAATTTTTCGAACATCCTTCTGTATTTATTGATAAAAACTCTATATTATTCTTATTCAATGATAAAGTTAGATCATCAAAAAATAACCTTCTATTAGTGTTTTTACTATTATTATTGTTTATAATATAACTGTAAGCATAATTTTCTTGATTATGTAGAGTGAAATTGATATTACTTTTTATATAGGTTTTACGATTCGAAATTTCATTTTTGTGCACCTTTGAACAACTATATGGAATCAAATTGTTTTCAAATATATTTCCAATTCTAAAAAATATGAATAAAAATAAATAAAACACTAAACACATCTTATAATAAAATTTCAGTAGTCGCCTTTATACTGAATTTGATAATGCATTTCACTAAACACAAAATTGTTAAGTTAAAGAAGTTAAAAATTTTGATCTATTTTAATATTATTTTGTTCATTATAGCCACAAATGTCAAAATGGTTTATACAATGATAAATTAGCACCAGTATAAACACAGCTACTGAATATATAATCAAAGTTTTAATTGTTATATTAATATTGTAGTTGTTATACTTAATATTTGAAAAATTCTTATTTGTATTCCAAATATTTTCTATCCAATCTTTATAACTTTTTATTCCACAACATTGTTGTTCAGCCTGTAAGCGGTCTAATATAAAATGCCATTCTGAATCAATATAATATAAATTAATTCCAGTTAATAATTGAATTTCAGCTAATTCAATAATAGAATCTGATGCATAATATAATAAACCAGTCATTATGGTACCGTATATAATTGTTATAAAATTTGATAAACACCAAAATTTTAATAGGATTTTGAATGAATTTTTATATTTGTTTTTGTTATATTTTTTATGTATCATTCCAATAATGTTTGGCACTAATAAATGTAGACCCAAAAAATTTAAATAAAATATATGTGAATGTATAGTTTTTCTATCTTTCGGATGATGATATTTAAATAAATATATTCTTAATAGCTGTCCAATTATAAATATACTTGCTCCATTAATTATTTGTATTGTTAAAAATATATTTAAAAATAAATGTAGAATAAATGGCATTATTTTCTTGTTGCTATAATTTGTTTCGCTTTCATTGTAGCATAAATCTTTAAAAAATGATAAATTAAATTTAAATAATAAATAAATATCAAATTGAGTTAATAAATATCAAATTTTGGAATCTGCAAGATCGAAATTCGCGTACATTTTTTGACATACTTTCTTTATAAAATTGAAATTGTTCTCCACATTCAGTAGTAATTGAGTCATCTAAGCTTTCCGAACTATTATTATTCATAAAACTTTCTAAAAGTATATACATATGTATGTATGTATTATGTACTTCAATTTTTAAATATTAATTTCGTATTGAAAAATGTTAAAATTTATAAATTCATTATGCATATATACCATTTATATAACACTTTCCGTTGTTGATAATTTCTCTCATTTTACTTATATATTAAGGGATATACGTAGAAATATTTTATTTTTTGTAAATTTTTTCAAAAAAACTTTCAAACGATTGTCATTTACCCAAATGCTGCAATGTGAAATTAAAAAAATTTATTATAAAAATTTGATAAATAAAATTGATTAATAAGTTCTTGAAAGTATAATATTATGTACATATGTTTAAATATTATTTTAAAATTATTAAAATGTCATACTTTTATAGAAATATACAATTAGATTATGAAGAAAATTATTGATTTTACTTTTTTTATACTTTTTTATTCTGAACGTATAACAGTTAACACTCTTGGTGTATAACCACACTGATCTATAAAAATAATTACTTAGCTAAAAAAAGTTGTTACACATATTTACTCCGATAGATGGCTTGAAATTTTTATATTAGAAGTAAGGAACAAATCTGGGCGACATAAATTTATCCGTTATCATGTTTACTTTCTTATGTTAAGTTTATCCGTTTTTATTATTAATTTCTTTTATCCTTATTGTTTCATTTATTTCAGATTATTCTCAACCGTAACTACTCAATAGTATTTTAGTATGTTATAAATTACTGTAGAAGGATAGTACTACAAATAAGAAATTGAAATGAAGTAAATTGAAAAGAATCTAGAATTTAGAAAATTGAATTTAATTGTGTTTTCGTTATAAATATACCACTTTAGTTTCAAAATAAGTTCATTAGACTTAAGAATAGTATTTTGTAATTGTTATTTAATATTTTTATTTTAAAGTTTATTTTTCACTTTGAAATTAGCTAATTTTATTTTGAATTAAAATTGTACATAAAATGTTGCTTTTTATTCACTGTACTGGATTACTAAAAAATAATAAATATGGTAACATTGTGCTACAATAAATAATAATGATAACATATTTTAAACAACGGTAACGTAGTTACAATATTTAAATTTTTGTTGAATGAAATAAATAAGTAAAACATTTTAAATTATTTCCACCTTTGAAATTTAAATCATTTAAAAATTTCGAAAAAACTTCGTTTTTCGATTGAAAATAATTGAAAAGAATTGAATATTTTTTATTTTAAAAGTGAAAAAAAAAATAAGAATTTCCAATTATAACGCTCTTCCAATCTCTTACAAAAAAGAGATCACTAGTTGAAAATAGTAAAAAAAAATAAAAATGGCTGACGATTCTAGTTCTAGTGAATATTCTTCAGATGAAGGTAATAAAATCTTTGGATTTTTCATAATATTTCAAAAAATAACATTCTTAGACCTAATTTATAATACATTTGTAAATCTTATAGAAAAAACTATTAAAAAAGTAAAGCCAGTCACACCGGAAATACAATTGCCAACATATACAGATGAAGAAATTGAAAAATTAATATCCTACATGAAAAAAATAACAATATTATTTGCATTGAATGAAAAAGATTGGGATGATGATTGTTATAGTATTATGAAAAAATGGTTAATTGATGTTACAGAATGTTTATTAATAATATTTTATGATGGTGTCACATTAAAAGCACGTTTAACATTTCCATTAACACCAATAAATGATTTAATATATTTTGTACGTCAACCAATGCATATATTTAGTATTGAAAAATTTCATGATGAAATTTCATTTGGTTCAATGCATGAAGATATTGATGGTTCTCTCTTAAAAATATTAAATTTTATTTATGCACCATTATTTTACCAATATACTGAATGGAATGAAAATGTTCGTGCTAAATTTCGTTCAGGATTAAATAAATTTTTATCATTATTAATTGATTGGCATTATAAAATATCTGGCATGACAGTATTATTTGTACCAAATACAGTACAAGATTGGGATATTGAGAAAGCTGCATTAGATAGAAAATTAACAAAAAATCTAGAAGATATTGCTATAATGTGGGGTAAACAAATAAGATTATGTTTAGAAGATAAGCAACAATTGGTACCAAAAGATTTAATATGTCCAATAGATGAATATGAATTTTGGTTGTATAGATGTAAGTATAGATAAAGACAGCTCTAGTTTTTATTACATTTATCAATTTTTTTTATAATTTATTTTCAATTTTCAGATGAAGTTCTTCAAGGATTATATTTGCAATTAGTTAATAAAGATTTACAAAAAATTATTGATGTTTTAAAGAAAGTACAATCAGTTTATGTAAAACAATTAGATCAATTAATGAATGATGTAAAAAATGAAATGGATATTTCAAAATCAAATATTAAATATCTTCAATTAATTGTTAAACCATGTAAAGAATTAGAAAAAATTGAAAATCCATCAAAAATACCACCAAATTTATCAAAAATAATTCATATTTTTCGTTATATATGGTTATATTCAGATTATTATAATACTAAAGAATTGATAACAGATTTATTCCGTGATTTATCAAATCAAATTATAATTTATTGTAGAAAGCAAATAAATATTAATAAAGTATTAGAAGGTAATCCGAGGTTTGGTATAAAAATGTGTAATATGGCTATTGATTGTTGTATGGCATATAAACAAATTTATAACAAAATTTCAATTGAACATATTAAACGTAATCCAGAAATTGATTGGAATTTAGATAATGCAATGATTTTTAATCATATTAATGCATTAATTGAAAGATTATATGATGTTATAGATATTAGTGAATCAATGATTGTTTTTAGTCGATTGGATGAAACAGAAGATATACCGAAACCAAAATTTGGCGGTGTAAAAGGTCCCGAATTCGAATTAATCTTCGAAAATGTAGAAAAAATGTTTCAAAATGAAATGAAACGTATTATAAATAATTCAAAAGATATTATATTAAATGTACATAGTAAACAATGGTATGATGATGTTTTAAAATATCGTCATATGGTTAGTAGTATTGAAGAAATACTACAGCGACTTATATCAGATGTATGTTTGAATATATGTAATATTGAAGAAGGTATTGAAGTTTTAGCTTCATTATACTTCTTTTGTTATAAAACATCATTGAAAAAATCTTTTGTACGGCAAACAAGTGAAATTTGGCAACAATTTTTAACGGAAATTGAAGAAACAAATAAAAAATTAATACAATTTGCAAGATATCGTGAATCATGGATACCACAATATTCATCGAGGATCATTCGAATTAAAATAAGTTTGGAACGATTAAAATGGATTTATAATCGCTTAGTAAATGCGTATTGGTTACCACAAGTTACCATTGCTGTAACAGCAATTAATGAATTTTTACAATTAGAAGTTGATTATAATAAGACAATTAAGAAAACATTTGAGGATTGGTCTGATTCCGTTGGTCCAAATATAATGAATAAATTAGAAAAATATTTAATTCGTAAAAGTATAATAAATATTGGATTGTTAGAATGTAATATGGATATGGACATTATGTTTATATTAGATGAAGCAAAATTTATGGAACAATTAGGTCTTACAATACCGCAAAATATAATGCCATTATATTCGAAATATCAAAATATAAAATTTATATATAATTCAGTATGTCAGGTATGTTATGATTATAATAAAATTATTGATGCATTATATCCAGATGAGAAAAAACTTTTCAAAAAATTAATAAATGAAATGGATCGTAAAATTGCTCCCGGTTATTTAAAATTAACGTGGAACGGTGAAATGAGTGAATCATATATTGCTGATTGTGTTAAACATACATCAGAATTACAAGAATTTCTTGATATTTATAAAAGAGTAAATAAAAATATATGTCGTATATGTGAAGAAATTTGTGATATGCCAATATTAAAAGTTTTACAAAACTCAATTGGTACATTACAAAATTTAATAAATAATATTCAAGAATATAGAGAGAAAACTATAAGAATTTTAAAGAATTTACACAAAAGTATTGTTGAATTAATTCAAACAGTGTTTGATCGTGGCTTTGAATCGGTTCATAGTAAGGTAATTTTATAAAAATAAACTAGAAAAAATGATTGAGTTCATTCTGAGAAGAGAATTTATTATACTGGATATTTATCGTAAATTATTTTTTATCGTAAATATTTATCGTAAAAATAATAGTGAATATTTATTGTAAAAGACACAACTTTTACTTCTACAGACACACAAATTATTAATAATTGCAGAAATAATTTTGGTTCACTTTACAATATTATATAACTTTTTACGATATTATTTTATTATTGACATATTAATTAACTTATTGATTCGCTTCTCAGAGAAAGGTTGAATGATATTACATATTAAGTTATTTTTTCATAGATGATAAATGAATGGTCGAATTATGTTAGAAAATTTGATAATATGCTGGAATGTGCTATACTTATATGCGCAAAACAATCAATGACAAATATACTTGATGGTATAAGACAAGAAGGAAGTGTTACAAAATCTCCAATAATATCAATGGACATTGATTTAATTGATCGAAAGGTAAAAAATTTAATTTTCAAAAAACATAAATTGAATGAAAAATTTTTAAAACAAAAAAAAATAGAAATTTAATTGCTATCTCTTCCGTTCTTTTTCTACAACTCTTCAATTTTAGGTCACATTTACACCATCTTACGATTTAATATTAAAATATTTTTCTGATGTTCACTCCACTGTTATAAGATCATTTGAAAATTTTTCTCGTTTACGTAGTAAATTTTCAATTTACGTTAGTGAAGAAGCGGATTTTCATAAATTAATATTAAAAAATGATGAATGTAATCAAATTCAAGAAGAAATAAACTTATACACCGAACAAATACAACATGAAATATTTGGATATCTTCAAAATTGGTTACAATTTAAAGCAATTTGGGAAGTAGACAAAGATGAATTTATAAAAGAATATGAAAATAGTGAAAATATAAATGCAATTTCATTTGATAAAAATATTGTGCATTATATTGAATTGGGAAATCAAATTTCAGCACAAGAAACTATTACTATTTTGCAATTTATTGTAATTAATTCAAGTAAATTAAAATATACAATATTGGGACATGTTGATGAATGGCAGAGTCGTTACATTGCATTATTACAAAAGAAGTCAACTGAAGCAATACAAGGTGAAAATATTTTTAGAATAATTAATATAATAAATATTTAAAATAATATTAATATTTTTAGCTATTTACGATTATATGGAATCAAATGCAAGAGCTGTTCTTACAATACCAAGAACATTAAGTGCTATTAAAACATCTATTCAGCTCTATAATAAATTAATCAATGAAATATCAATAAAACAATCAGAATTTTCACCAATTTATGATTTATTTAAGGTATTAGATAAATATGAAATACCAGTTGAAAAATCAGTACGTGTTATGGTAAATACATTGGAAGTTGAATGGCAAAATTATATTAAAAAATTAGCTGAGGCCGATGAAATGTTAGGAAATTCTAAAGATGAATTTAAAGGAGAATTACTCAAACAAGTAGATAAATTTAAAAATATTATTAATGAAATGACAATGGATTTTATTGAAAAAGCACCTATCACATCAAAAACGTAATTAATTTTTAATGATAGCGCACGTTTAAATGCAAAATTTTAATTTGTTTTTTTTTTTTTTTCTTTTTCAAGTTTTATTGATTAATATGTGTTTTGCTCGAATTTATATAATAGTAGTTATTTAAATGTAGTAATTATTTTATATAAATAAAGGATGATTAATTTGTTGTAATATAACGTAATAATAGGTAGAGAGGGTTTCAAATTTTCAAAAATTCAGAAATAATACTGAATTCCTTTCGTCCGAATGAGTTTATGACCATCATTTTAAAAATAATTTAATCTATATCGTAGTTGAAAAATTATGTTTTCAAAATCGAATGTACACAAAATGCTAAATTTGAACGCAATTTAAAAGAAAATTTTGGAACAATTATAGTATAGATTTCTATGGAATCTTTCATATGAAATCCAAAACCATACGGGTAGTTTCAACAAATTAAAATTTATTAAAATTTTTTAAAATATTTAAGAAAACATCTATTGCTAAAAAAATAAAATATATTGCTTTGATGTCATTACTTAATAAGTAGTACACATTAAAATCCTTAAAATTGCACTTTAAATTTTAAATATTCCCTTTAGAACAACAAAAGCAGCTGTTAGATATTTTGAAATAATTAGAAAACGTATTAATAATCTCTACGAGTTCGAGGAATGTTTACTAAATGATTTAAATTTTTTTAATGTTATGATTTTTGAAAATTTAGAATTGAAAAAGCTTGATAAAGAATTAAAAATATTAGAAGAAGTATGGAATTTAGTGTTAGTTTGGGAAGATTCATTGAATAAATGGAGATATGATAATTTTTGGGAAATAAATATTGATGAAATGGAGGATAAAGCAGTTACAATATACAGGCAATTTAATCAACTATGCAAGAAATATAAAGATAAAAATTTGGAAATTTTGGAGACAAAACGTAAAACAGTTAATGATTTCCGTAGAACATTACAAATGATAACAGCTTTGAAAAATCCATCAATGAGGAAAAGGCATTGGGATAAAGTGAAATCTTTAATGAAAGTGTAAGTAAAATAAAAGTAAAGATAAAAGCTTTTTTTAACCCCCTTGTTTAATTAGAATTTTTACAAAGACATTTTAAAATTATAAACGCATGATTATATTTTGTAGAAATAAAAATCTTATCTTAAATCAATCTGTTTCATTCTCTCATTTAAGAAATTTTAATGAACATTCACCAGAATTTAATATTGATGCACTAATATCAATGGATTTTCAAGCATATTCCGATGATATACAAGATATATCAAACTCTGCTACAATGGAACTTCAAATTGAAATGGGTATTAAGAATATTGCAGAGATTTGGAAAACAATAACATTTGAAATGATTTTACATCATGATGAGATTTATCGTATTAAAAATGTTGATGATTGTTTTCAAGTATTAGAAGAACATGCTGTACAAATTTCATCAATGAAATCGACACGATTTGTTGAACCATTCGCTAAAGAAGTTGATAAATGGGAGAAAACTTTATCTTATATAACAGAATCATTAGAAAAAGCTTTGGTGGTGCAAAGACAATATCTTTATTTGGAAAATATATTTTTAGGTGAAGATATTAAGTTACAATTACCACAAGAAGCCGCAAATTTCGATAGTATTATTGCCGAATGGAAATATATAACAAGTAAGATGTATTATGGTGCAACAGCTTTCAAAGCAACACATTTTCGTCCACCAAATTATTTAATTAATCGTCTTAATATTATGGATACAAAATTAGAATTAATTCAACGTGCTTTAGAAGTATATTTAGAAAGTAAGAGACAATTATTCCCAAGATTTTATTTTATATCAAATGATGATTTACTAGAGATTTTGGGAAATAGTAGACGTCCCGATTTAATTCAAAGTCATTTAAAGAAATTATTTGATAATTTATATAAATTAGATATAAGAAAAGTTGAGGATCGAAAACGTTTACGTTGGCAAAGTTTTGGTATGTATTCAGATGATGGAGAAACAGTTGAATTTCAAGAAGCGATGTTTTGTGAAGGACCAGCTGAAGATTGGTTAAATGTAGTGGAACAAAGAATGATACAAACATTAAAAGTTAATTTAAAATCAGTTAAAGAATCCTTACGAAATAATACAAAAGATAGAGAAAAATGGTTAAAATTATGGCCTGGTCAATTATGTTTGACATGTGCCCAAATACAATGGACGACTAATTGTACTAGAAGTTTAATCCTTTGTAAGACACTTGATTCAAAGAAACCATTAAAGAAATTAAAAAAGAAACAAAATCAAATATTAGTTAAGTTATGTGAAAGTAGTAGAAAAGACTTGCCAAAACTTTTAAGATTAAAAGTAAGTCATAGTATTGCTTATAAAAGTGAAACTCTTAGTTTACTAAACTATTATTCAATTTTGTTTTTAGGTAAATACATTAATAACAATTGAAATTCATTCACGTGATGTGATTGAAAGAATGTATAAAGCAAATTGTCGTGATGTTAGTAACTTTGAATGGTTCTCTCAATTACGTTTTTACTATGATCGTAATTCCGATCTATGTGTTATTCATCAAACAAATACTGAACATACATATGGTTACGAATATACCGGAAATTCTGGTAGATTAGTCATAACACCATTGACGGATCGTTGTTATATAACACTTACAACAGCTTTACACTTATATCGTGGTGGAAGTCCAAAAGGACCCGCTGGAACAGGCAAAACTGAAACTGTTAAAGATTTAGGAAAAGCATTAGGAATCTGGGTGATTGTGACTAATTGTTCAGAAGGCTTAGATTATAAAAGTATTGGGAAAAATTTTTCTGGTTTAGCACAACAAGGTGCTTGGGGATGCTTTGATGAATTTAATAGAATTAATGTTGAAGTATTGTCCGTAGTAGCACAACAAATTTCATCAATTTTATCAGCTTTAATGGCAAAAAAAAAAAAATTTGTATTTGAAGGGACAGAGATTAAATTATGTCGGGAAGTTGGTCTTTTTATAACAATGAACCCCGGATATGCTGGGCGTACTGAATTACCAGATAATTTAAAATCTATGTTTCGGCCAATTGCAATGATGACACCGGATAATGCTATAATAGCAGAAAATTTATTGACAAGTGATGGTTTTGAAAAAGGAAAAAATTTAGCTAAAAAAGTTTTTATCTTATATGAACTAGCAAAACAACAATTGTCTAAGCAATGTCATTATGATTTTGGTTTAAGATCAATGGTTGCCTTGCTAAGATATGCAGGGTTAAAAAGACGTCAACTACCAAATACTAATGAAGAAGAAATTATATATTTGGCTATGAAGGATATGAATGTAGCTAGATTAACATCAAATGATCTTCCACTATTCAATGGAATCATGCTTGATATTTTTCCAGGTGTTACTATTCCTGTTATAGATTATAGTATATTTCAGGAATCAATTGAATTGGAACTTACCACAAATAATTATCAAGCAATACCAATAGCGATCAAAAAGGTACTTTTCAAAATATGCTTTAAAATAATCGGACTAGATTTGCGCTATTTGTATTTAGATTATAGAATTATATGAGACAAAAAATTCAAGACACTCTACAATGTTGATTGGTGATAGTGGTTCGGCAAAGTCTGTAACTTGGAAGGTATTGCAGGGTGCATTTAATCGTATGAAAGCCATAAATAAGGAAGGATTTGAAAATATTGCTGTATATCCAATTAATCCAAAAGCTTTAAGTCAAGCTGAACTTTATGGTGAATATAATTTAACGACCGGTGAATGGTTAGATGGGGTAATTAGTAGCATAATGCGTTCTGTTTGCGCTGAAGAAACTCCATCATTGAAATGGATTTTATTTGACGGTCCAGTTGACGCTGTATGGATAGAAAATATGAATTCTGTAATGGATGACAATAAAATATTGACACTTGTTAATAGTGAAAGAATATCAATGCCCAATACAGTATCTTTATTGTTTGAAGCAGCTGATTTGGCTGTAGCTTCACCAGCTACTGTTTCCAGATGTGGTACAGTTTATAATGACTATAATGATTTTGGTTGGAAGCCGTATGTTAACTCTTGGTTGACAAAACAAAATCCAAAAGAATATGTTGCCTTGCTAACTGATTTATTTGATAAATTTACTGATAAATGTTTGGAATTTAAAAAACAAAACTGTCGAGAAACGGTTCCTGTTAATGATCTGTGTTCTATAATACAACTTTGTAATTTATTAGAAATTTTAGCCAGCAAAGACATTCGCATCGTTAGTGATAATATAGAACATTTAACGGCAATGACCACAATTTGGTTTGTATTTTGTTTGACGTGGTCTGTTTGTGCCACTGTAGATGAGGATGGACGTACCAAATTTGATGCTTTTATTCGTGATAATGAAAACTGTTTTCCAATGAAGGATACTATATATGATTATTACGTTGATCTAAAGCAAAAAAATTTTGTACCATGGGAGAATAAATTGTCTGAAACGTGGAGATATCTCAAAGAGTATGCTTCTTAATGTTTTTCATTGTAAAAATTTGTTTCTAATTGACTTGATTTGTAGTACACCTTTTTATAAAATTGTTGTACCAACAGTTGATACAGTACGATATGAATATTTAGTCTTGAATCTCTTACTGTCGGATAAACCGATAATGTTGGTAGGTGGTGTTGGAACAGGTAAATCGTCGACTGCTGCAAGCGTATTAGAAGCAATAGATAAAGAAAAATATACTGTTTTATCCATCAACATGTCAGGTCAAGTATGTTGGTACGTTGATTTTTATAATAAATACTTAAATATGTTTATTTTAGACTACAGCGCCTGGACTTCAAGAATCAATTGAAAATAAAACAGAAAAGTGTACTAAAGTTTTATTTGCTCCACCTGGAGGAAAAAAAATGATAGTATTTATGGATGACTTTAACATGCCTATTAAAGATGAGTATGGATCCCAGCCACCTTTAGAGTTAGTGCGTCAGTGGTTAGATTATAAATTTTGGTATAACAGAAAAAATCAACAACGTGTTTACGTATCCAATTGTACACCAATGTCAGCAATGGGAGAGCCCGGTGGTGGAAGGCAAGTCATTTCGTCTCGAACTTTAAGTCGTTTTAGTGTCATCAATGTAATTTTTCCCAATTTTGCAACAATTATAAGAATTTTTGGCACAATTTTAAAACAGAAAACCAGCGATTTTATGAATGATATTCGTTTAAGCTGGAAATCAATGGCTGAAGCAACATTTGATTTGTATAATTCGGTAAAATCAAAAATGTTACCGACTCCCACTAAATCCCATTATTTATTTAATTTACGTGATATATCAAAAATATATCAAGGTCTTCTAAGAAGTAATCCTGAATCTCAAAATACAAAATTGGCTATGCTGAAACTATGGGTACACGAATGCTTTAGAGTTTTTTGTGATCGATTAGTTGACAAACTAGAAATAGATTGGTTTCTAAATCAGGTAAGTAGCACGTTGGGAAAATATTTTGGATTTGAATATAACGACGTATGCCCAGATAAAAGGTCTCCAATTTTTGGCGACTTTATGAGTGCTAGCGGTTATTATGAAGACTTGTGCCCAAGAAATATCGATGACTTAAGGCAATTTTTAATAGCTCAACAAGAAAATTATAATATATCCCCTGGGATGGCTAGAATTGATCTTGTATTTTTTAGAGAAGCTATTGAACATATTACAAAAATTGTCCGAATAATCTCACAACCTAGAGGTCATGTTCTTAATATCGGAATTGGAGGTTCTGGTCGGCAAAGTATGACTAGTATGGCTACATTTGTATGTGAGTTGAATATGTTTCGAATCGAAGTAACTAAAAAATATAAAACACAAGAATTTCGAGAAGATTTGAAAAGTCTATACAAAATAACTGGAGTTAAAAACAGAGGCACTGTTTTTTTATTTAATGATGAGCAAATAGTTGAAAATAATTTCTTGGAAATTTTAAACAATATTTTGAGTACAGGCGAAGCTAATTTATTCAAAATTGAGGAATTCGAAGAGCTTAAGAATGAAATAGAGCCTCTAGCTAAAAAAAATAACGTAATTTTAACTACGGAATCAATGTATAATTTTTTTATGTTAACAGTAAGAAATAACTTACATCTTGTACTGAATTTAACACCTGTGGGAGAAAATTTTCGGCTTTATATTAGACAGTATCCTGCTTTGATAAACTCAACAACATGTAATTATTTTAGAACTTGGTCAAAAGAAGCTCTTCTGGAAGTTGCAGAAAAATTCCTGTATGATATTAAGCTCAATATACCCACTCCATCTGTGTTACTACAAATTAATCGTGATAGTTTTATTAAAAGTACTGAAAACCAAATGAGAATTGATATTGCCCATATTTTCTCCGATATTCATTTAGGTGTAAGAGAAACTTCAAACATAATGTTAAATGAAATGAAGCGTTATAATTATGTAACGCCAATGAATTATTTAGAACTTGTAGCAGGATTTCAAGATTTATTGAAAAAAAAACGATCAGAAATATCAAAATATGCAAATCGATTACGAAATGGTTTATCTAAAATAGAAGAAACAAGTGAAAAAGTTGGAGTTATGTCAGAAGAGCTCAAAGTCAGTCAGATACAAGTTGCTGAGTTAGCAATTCAATGCGAACATTTTATTGTTGAAATTAACACTCAACAAAAAGAAGCCGAAGTTAAAAAAGCTGAGGTTATTGCGAAAAGTCAGGTAATAGAATTTGAGGAACTTGAATGCAAAACTTTAGCTGAAGTTGCTCAAAAAGATTTGAATTTGGTTTTACCGATGATTGATGATGCAATTAGCGCTTTAGATGCACTAAGTAAAAAGGATATATCTGAGGTAAAGTCATATGGTAGACCCCCAGTAAAAGTAGAAAAGGTAATGGAAGCTGTAATGGTAATTCTAAATAAAAAACCAGATTGGGAAACATCAAAGAAAACACTAGGAGAACCAAATTTTTTGAATGATTTAAAAAATTTTGATAAAGATAACATTCAAGAAAAAACATTAAAGAAACTAGTTGCATATACAAGGGACCCTGAACTTGAGCCAAATAAAGTAGGTGTGGTTTCATTTGCATGCAAATCTTTAATGCAATGGATTTTAGCAATAGAAAACTACGCTAAAGTGTACAGGTAAGCTGAAAATTTTATATAAATTTGTTATATTTACTAAATATTTCTTTTAAGAATTGTTGTTCCAAAACAAGCTAAACTAAATGAAGCTTTGGAGTCTCTTAGAATGAAACAAATAATGCTGGAAGAGGCACGTCAACAATTATCTGAATTAATACAAAAATTAATAAAATTACAAGAAGAATTTGACCAAAAGTCTAAAGTTTTAAATGCCTTAAAAGAAAATGCCCATAAATTAGAGTAAATTTTTTTCAAAATAATAATTTTCAAACAGAGAAACTGTCATTATTAAATTATTTTAGGTTGCATTTGGAACGCGCAAAGTTTTTGGTTGAGAGTTTAACTGGAGAGCAGCAAAGATGGATTGATATAGTTGCATCACTTGACATCCAATTTTCTCATTTACCTGGGAATTGTTTAATTGCTATTGGATTTGTATCATATTTGGGTCCATTTGATATAAAATATCGACGTATGTTATTTGAAACTTGGTCTAAAGAAGTAATTAATAGACAAATTCCCGCTACAGAAGATCTAAATATAAATCTTTTTTTGAGTGATGCTGTCACTATACGTGAATGGAATATTCAAGGATTGCCAACTGATGATTTTAGTACTGAAAATGGTATAATTATGACTAGCTGTCGTAGATGGCCTTTAATAATTGATCCACAAATGCAAGCCCATAACTGGATAAGAAATTTAGAGGAAAAAAATGATTTGCAAATAATCGATTTCGGAACAGTTGAATTTTTGAAGATTTTAGAGAAAGCATTGCAATTTGGCATGCCTGTACTTTTACAAAATGTTTCAGAATTTTTGGATCCAGTTATAAATCCAATTTTAAAAAAAGTTTTCGCAATTAGTGGAGGATTGAAAATGATAAAATTTAACGATAAATTGATAACGTATAATGAAAATTTTAAATTGTATATTCAAACAAAATTAAGTAATCCACATTATCCACCTGAGATTTCTTCAAAAACGACTTTGGTAAATTTTGCTATTAAAGAAAGTGGGTTACAAGCACAACTTCTGGGTTTGATTGTACGCAAAGAAAAACCAATTTTAGAGGAAATGAAAAACGATTTAGTTGTAACGATCGGTAAAAATAAGAAAACCTTAATAGATCTAGAAACTGATATTCTTAGATTATTAAATGAATCTAAAGGGTCTCTACTAGAAAATGACGAGTTATTTTTTACATTATCTAAATCGAAAAAAATTTCTGCAGACGTAAAAGATTCATTAAATACAGCAGAAATAACAGAAATTGAAATTGATCTCGCTCGACAAGATTATGTTCCAGCAGCTAAAAGATCTGCTATTTTATTCTTTGTTTTAATGGATATCTCGAAAATAGATCCAATGTATCAATTTTCGTTGAATTCGTACGTTTTATTGTTTATGCAATCAATTGAGAGAAGCCCCAAAAGCACTAATCTTGCTGAAAGGATTACAAATATTAATGATTATCACACTTATGCGGTTTATAACAATACTTGTCGAGGTTTATTCGAAAACCACAAATTGTTATTTTCAATGCACATGTGTGTCAAAATTTTACAGGCAAGTAATGATATTGATATGAATGAATATGATTTTTTTCTAAAAGGTGGTATTATGATGGATAAACAAGAGTACGTTGAAAATCCACGGCCAGGTAATTGATTTTGGAAATATGAGTTTTAAGATTGTAACATACAAAATATTAATGACAGATTGGATTGGTGAAGAGTCTTGGGATAATATAACCATGTTAGATAAAATTTCAGAATTTCATGGAATTGTGGACTCGCTCCAAACAAATCCCAAACTCTGGCTAGGTAAATAAGTAAAAAAAATTATAATCTAATACATATAAATAATTATATAACTTTTTAAATAGAATGGTATTCGACAACGGCTCCTGAAAGTGTACCATTGGTAGGTGAATGGGACAAAAAATTAACCGATTTTCAAAAAATGTGTGTCATTCGTTCTTTGCGTCCAGATCGAATATCTGCTTGTTTATCGCAATTTATTATAAATATCTTAGGTCCAAGATTTATAGAGCCACCAGTTCTTGATTTGGCTCAAGTTCTAGAGGAATCTATTGCTCAAATTCCATTAATTTTTGTTTTATCACCGGGTGTAGATCCTACTGCATCATTGGTTTCTTTAGCTGAATCAAGCAATATGTCATCAAATTTATTTTCATTAAGTCTTGGGCAAGGCCAAGCACCAATTGCTACAAAATTATTGATGCAAGGTATTAAGGATGGAAGTTGGATATTTTTAGCAAATTGTCATTTGTCACTGAGTTGGATGCCGTTGCTAGATAAAATTATTGAAACATTTCAATCAACAAAAATACATAAAAGGTTCCGATTATGGTTATCATCTAGCCCACATCCAGATTTTCCAATATCTATTTTGCAAACATCAATAAAAATGACAACCGAACCGCCACGTGGTATTAAGGCGAATATGAAAAGATTGTATCAAAATGTTACTGACGAAAATTTCTTAAAACTTCAAGATCCATCAAAATATAAGAAATTATTATTTTGTTTGTGCTTTTTTCATACAATTTTATTAGAAAGGAAAAAATTTTTACAATTGGGTTGGAACGTTATTTATAGTTTTAATGATTCAGACTTTGATGTTTCGGAATCCCTTTTAACGCTTTACTTAAAGGAGTATGAGCAAACGCCATTTGATGCTCTCAAATATTTAATTGCTGACGTTAATTATGGTGGTCATGTTACCGATGATTGGGATAGAAGATTATTAATCACATATGTTAATCAATATTTCAATAATAGTGTACTGGAAGTTTCCAATTACAAGTAAGTTTACACAAAATTTTCCCGCAACTATTTTAAGAAAACTCTATATTTTTTTTCATTAGTTTATCTTCTTTATCAACATATTATGTACCAGGAGATGGTGATGTGCTATATTATCAAGATTATATTACTTTTCTTCCTCAAGAAGATAAACCAGAAGCATTTGGACAACATCCAAATGCCGATATTGCTTCATTAATAACTGTAACACGTTTTATTTTTGAAACATTACAATCAATGGAAGTACAAGCTGCAACAACTGAAGGTGAATCAAGGGAAAGTAAAGTATTAAAAATGGCAAATGATATCGAAGTTAAAATTCCAATAAATATTGATTATGAAAATACTGCAAAAACTATTGGATTGAAAAAAAATCCACTTGAAGTTGTTTTATTGCAAGAAATCGAAAGATATAATATGTTGCTTACTAAGATTCGAAATGATTTACGAGATTTACAAAAGGGTATAAAAGGAGTTGTAGTGATGAGTGTCGAATTAGATGACATATTTAATGCTGTAAATGTTGGTAGAGTACCAAGTGCGTGGCTTAAAAGTAAGTATAAAAAATAAATTGAAACTTTTATCTAAATAATATTTTAAATATTTTAATGTGTTCTACAGCTTATGGTTCACAAAAACCTTTAGGGTCATGGTCCAGAGATTTAATTCTTCGTGTTGAAGTTTTTAATTCGTGGTCAAAAACATTACAACCACCAAAATTCCAATGGCTGTCAGCATATACCTTCCCAACTGGATTTTTAACTGCGGTTTTACAAATAGCTGCACGTGTTAATGAAACACCAATTGATGAATTTTCATGGGAATTTTATGTATTTAGTGAAGATGAATTACAAATAGCGCAAACTCAATTGAAAACTGGAGTATTTGTTCGTGGTTTATATTTAGAAGGAGCCGGATGGAATCTTAGAGGACAATGTTTAATTGAACCTCAACCTATGGAATTGATTTCTTCAATGCCAATTATTCATTTTAAGCCAGTAAAAAATTTAAAAAAGAAAACAAAAGGAGTTTATAATTGTCCAAGTTATTATTACCCTACTAGAGCTGGATCATTTGTAATAGCAGTTGATTTGAATTCTGGTTTAGAGAATTCTGATTTTTGGATTAAGCGGGGAACTGCAATATTATTGAGTTTAGCAACATAGTTTTATAAATTTTTTTGAAAATATTTTCTTATTTATTTTTCTTAAATAATTAATATTGATTAAATAATTATAATGTTGATTTCTGTTTACAATATTATCTATGAAATTCCAAATTGTAAAACGATAGTGATTCTCTACTATATGAAATGGGAATGAGATGTATGAGATGGGAATTTCTAAGTTTAATTCCCCGTACAAAATTCGATAATGTTATTGTAAAAACAAACTTATTTAAATAAACAGTTTGTGTCCTAAAAAAATTATTTAACTTTTTACGATAAAATATATGTATGAAAAGTTGCTGTTTTAAACTGGCGATTGTTTAGAATTTTTCTCAAATTTTCAACAAAATTTCCTAAAATATGAGTTAATAAACTTTAGTTTCACAAGTTTAATTCAAGATCATGAAAGTTCATCATATCCTATATAATACAGTGTTAAATAATATAAGTACATTATAATATACGTATGTATACGAACACAACCATACATGTTCTAAGTAAATTTCAAATTTATAAACTTTTTATAATAGACTCTTTTTTTTCGAATTTTATTTTCTTATATAATAAACAGCCAACATTCCTTTGGGAAATTTTTATAAATTGAATTTCGATCTAATTTTCAACTTGTTTATAAATTAATATATAAAATGAAATAAATATGACGATAAAATAAATAAATTGAAAATTTTTTTTATGAATATTATAAAAGAATATAAAATAAAAATAAAAACAAAATGTAAGTTACCATAATAAAAACGAATTGCTTTTTAAAAAGGAGTTTTCGTATACGGGAAATAAATGTAATAATTTTGGAATATTGGCAATTGTATAATCTTCTTTTTTTTTTAGTGTACTATGTTATAATATTTTAGCTTAAGTTCTTGCAAATAAAGAGATACTCTATATACATATGTATATATATTTATACAGAATAAGTAATTCAAAAGGATATTTTTGTAATCGGGTAATCAAAGTTTTAAAAAAAAAATTTTCAATTTTCTACCCCGAATTTTTTTGTGTTTTAGCAGCTACGAGTATTAATCGAAAACGAAAGTCTCATATCAACCAACAATAAATCGTTACGTACAAGTTCCTCAACTTTAGACGGTTTATGGACGTCTACAGTAAAACTAGAAAAAGGTTGAGAAGATGCTTAAAAGAATAATCATCAATTATTACAATATTAATTTGTGAAAATATCATGATTTAAGGCATTTAAAACAATATATTACACGTGTAATGCTGAAGAATTACTTAAATTTGCATATATTTAGCATTTTCTTGCATATACTCTTGTGTTTAATTGATCTTAGGTAAATTAGATTAAGAAAAAAGGATATGAGCTTTTAACTTTAAAATATTATTTTGGGTATTAATAAATTATTAAAAGTATCGATTGTAACTTAGAGACCATTATAAATTCTATATGAAAACAGATTATTTATTATATTTTAACCTTTCTGAAGAAAAATGTTTACTTCTATGCTTCTTTTAATTTTTGATTCTTTAGTAAAAATTTTTTGATAAATTAATAGCATAAATTTGGGCATTAAATATTAATTTTTGAGACATTGAATTTCTTTTTATGCCTACATCTTTTTGAATTCTTTATTTTACTTGTATTATAATATTAAGGACATCATGCAAATTGATAAAATATTATCCCTTATCAAGAGTGTTCAGATGTTTTCTTTTTCTTTCAATTTTCTCAGAATATTCAAATTGGCTTGGCAACAGAATTTTTGATATTGAAGCAAACGCTTAAAATTTCACTCCTGTAATCTTAAGCAATTATTTTTAAAATACTTTGACAATTTTTAATACTCGTGGGTATTGTACATATTTATAGGTCCCAGATAAAAAAAGGAAATCGAAAGTGCCTTTATTCGTTTTTTTCAAAACGAATTATTCTTTTATTTCTATAACATTGACAGTCTTACATGAAAGACATATTTTATATACAAAAGAGAAACTCACTTCAAATTTTAGTAGGATTTTTGAATTTGTTACTTTAAATTATGAATTCAATTGAACCACTTACTATAACAAAAAATAATCTAACTTAAATAATGAATAAAATTTTAAAATCTAGAATCAATAATAATACTCCGTGACTTCAATAATGCGCTTAAGACGTAAAATTTTACAAAGTATCAAATTCCAAAAAGTTTACTAAAAGCTCTTGAAATTGTACACTTTTCCAAAATGCGTTTTATACGTAATGGAGACGTAAAATAAAAGTAAATCGGGTATCGAAAAAATCGAGCACGCTTTTCTTATACCTTGTCATATAAATGTTACCAGAAATAACCGATAAAATAAACTAGCATATATTTTCATCAATAAAATGCTAGCTATCAAGTTTTTTCCAAAATAAAGCATAAGAATGCTATTTTTCCAGTGGTGTGGTAACGTTTGTTAGTTATACAAAATTTAGTGTCATTTGTCATATTTCAAATTCATAAACAAAAAAGTTTTTTTAAACCTTCACGTATATGTTATTTTTAAAATTTGAAAAAAAAATGGAAAAAGAGAAGTAAGTTATACCTTAATTCATTAAATGTAATATTGATTTAACATTTAATTTTTGCAGTAATAAGAAATGGACCGTGGATAGGAAAAAATTATTGATTACAGTGAGGCTGAAATACGAAAGTGAATTCGTATCAAAACGTTTTAAAAAATCCACGTTATGGAACAAAATATATAATGATATCCTTGAAGTAGAACCGGATTTCCCATTCAATTCAATTGAATTATTTACAACAATATTTGCGAACACATTCATTTTTTTAAAATTAACATTTGCACAGAACTTTAAATTGAAATTTTCAAACAAATGTCAAAGTTGTATTGATATGGTAAAAATTGTATTCCAAAATGTATCAAAAGCTTTAGTAGTTTTTTTTACAATGTAAAGGTATTGAAAGCTCTGAGACGGTACTAATACCGTATTAATGCCGTACTTAAATCTTTTTTAAAGCATTATTGAAGTCACGGACTTTCAATCCATTACTTTCAAATTAGAACAATGTTTTCTAGCTTTATTACTGATTGACCTCTCTTCCCAGCAATTCTGTTATCTTAATTCATGTTGAATTTCTTTAAACTTTCAAGGTTAGAATTCAATTTGCTATTTGTTTTATATGTTAACATTATAAGTGTATTATGTATAAATATCTACATAGACTCATTTAACATGGTTTCAAGCATATGGGCAGAAAAATGTTAAAGTTAAGTTAATTGAATATATTGAATTGGTATTTTGGGATAAATAAAATTTATAATTTAATTTTCCTTCTATGCACTCATTTGAAGTTTCAAAAAGCCACTTATTATAACTATTCCGAAAAAAAGGTACGAAAATATGTACATAGATGAAAATTATTTTTCTTTGATTACAAGAATGTTATATATCCTTGCTTTAGAAAACTTTTACTTTTTAAAAACCCTTGAGAATTGTTTAATATTTGAATTTTGTTTTGTAAATGTAAGGAGTTTTCTATTTCTTAATAAATTTAAATGATATCATTATTTTTACGTAGTTTGTCGTATTTGTTTTTACCTGTTTATATACATGTAAGTATATAAAATGTGTAAACATGAGGTAAATGAATATTCTATATATTGGTCACTTTATTTGATTGAGTATACATTATAAATTTGAGTCTACATTTTAGATAATTTTTCTTCAACACAAAGTTTTCTATGGCAATAATAATAAGGACGAGCCACAAGAAACTACACTCTCAGAAACCTGTACTGCATTTCCCAATGTCAGTGATTGCATTTTATCAATCAGAGAACGGGCTTACTTTCACAACATGTAAATTATAAAATATAGAACATATAATATGCAATATACAATATACAATATACAATATACAATATACACTATACAATATACAGTTATCTGAAATATGATTTAATTTTGACATCTATTTGTTTTTAATACCTGATATAATTAAAAATCTTTAAAAGTAAGATTTGTATAACATTTATTTAAATTACATATATATTTAAATTTGTTTATCAAACTTTGCTTCCAAAGTTTTACTATTTTGATTTAATTTTCATATTTAAATATACATTTTACAACAATAATATTAGCAATAGCATAATAACAACTTTGTGTTCAGTACATATTTCTTATACATACATAACAAGTAAGACCAACAAAATAATGTAGAAGTTAAGTAAGGAGTTAGGAAAATATGCATGTATATATAGTTTAAAGAACATAAGATAAAAAATTCACTCATGTCGTTCTTGACGTTATATTGAAGTATGAAATGTAAAAAAAAAATAATAAAAATGGTTGATCAAATATCTCAAAATCCCGTTATTATTATTCGTATAACAGTATCATTTATGGACCATTTCAAGGTAAACGAAAAGTGAACAACAAGGAGGAGGCGGAGGTGGAGGAGGAAATGAGATGACAAATAAAAAATAAGTTTTAAAAAATGAGCACAATATTGAAAGTGAGAAAGAGATAGAGATATAAAACAGAAAATAAAACAAAAAATTAAATAACATTAAAGTGAATGAAATATTTTTTTTTTATTTTCTACATATACAAACATACATAGTGTTCTTAAACATACTGGGATATAAAAAAAAAATGTAAAAATATAAAAAGTATAAAATTTATTTTAACACTGAAAAGTAATAAAATGTTATTTTTACAGTTATATTTGGTAATGTTATTTTTTTTTTTTATTTTATTAAATTTTTTTTGTTTTTTTTTTTTTTTTGCACATTGTGAATTCATTTTTGGGTATTTTATAATATTTACATATTATATTTCATTGAGTATTCTGATAATGTCCCAATATACATACATATATAATTGTACGCATAATAAAGAGAAAGGAGAGAAGAGTCTTAGTTTGGTTTGCTTATTTAACAGTGAACGTTATATACCTAACATTTAAAGAAATAAAAAAATAACATAAGCTGGCTGTAGGTATACTTACGTGTAATTTAATATTGTAA